AGCATCCAGCAGCACTTTTCTGGCCGTTTCCGTAATGGACGCCTGCTGCAGCCAGAGGTGGCGCTGGATTTGCATCACCCACGCGGCGATTCTGGCCTGGGAGACAGCAACAGACGCACACAGTGTGAGCGCCGTGCTGGCAGCCTTGGCGATCTCTTCCGCTTCGTCAGCGGCCAAGGTGGTGGACCGCTCCACCAGCGTCACCACCGAATTGGACAGCAGCGCGATGTTGTTTGCCGCCGCCGTCGCCTGAAAGGCACACTGGTGCACCCGGTCGGCCTGGCGGGCAACATACTGGTCCCTGGGGGAGGCCAACGTAGGGCGCCGTCCGGCGATCATGTTGGCCTGCCTTACCCCAAAAAACGCCATCAGGCCCGGCTCCAGCGAAGGGGTGGCTGGGAATCCCACGTCTGTAAAACCCTCCACCTTGGTGAGGGGAACAAACGTGGACACCGGGGCCTTGAGAGTCCTCGGGTTCGCCGCCGCCCCCTCCTGGTACCTCCTGATGGCGGGAAAGCGTGGCCAGATCGGGTCACTCCTGACCGTCTGCACCCGCGAAAAAACTCCGGCCATGTCGTCCGGAGCACTCCTCTCCTGAGCTGGGGGAACGGGGAGACCTCTGCAGGCTCCCCGTTCACTTTCACATTAAAGAACAAAGACTTCACTTTTGTCTTCCTGTTATCCTCAAGTTTACTTTACACCTTTGATCCTTGGGGGTCATTTTGACCGCCCCCGTTTAAAGCTCAAGAAAATGATCACATTCAAAATTCTTACAAAGATGTGTTTCTGGTGCTTTATGTTTCTTTGTTGACTACCTAAATAACTATTTAAATAAAACATGACCCCCCCCCCCCCCCATTATACATCCAGAATCCCTATTATGTGACTATCCAAAGATATATAAAGCACCATCAAATCTTACTGATTGACATTTTAAAGAAACATCTTTTCGCTGTTGTTAAAGGATCTATATTATTTCTTAGTTTTGGCGTTTAATAAAAACAATGTATATTATCAAGGAGAGTAACGGACAGCAGCAGCTCAGTCTGTAGGGACTCGGCTTGGGAACCAGAGGGTGGCCGGTTAGAGTCCAGAAAAAATTAGGGAGTGTGGACTGGTACTTGGAGATGTCCCAGCTCACCTCCTGGGCCCTGCTGTGGTGCCCTTGAGCAAGGCAGCTGCCAACTGCTCCTAGTGCTAGGAGGGGTTAAATGCAGAGGTCAAAGGTCACTGTGTACATGTACATGTGTGTAACAAACAACTTTAATGTCAATCTTTCAGTTTGTGTGTACAGACAGAGAGATCGAAATGACGTTTCCAACAATCCCGAATACAAAAATACAATTATAAAACGGACAAGTAAAATCAAGCAATCTGATTGGTTCTTAGCCGTGGTATACTGAGCGTATACCACGGGTAGAATTGTAAGTTACTTTTCACAACAACTCAGTATCCCTCCGCGTCTGAGATAAACAGTATACAGTTGGGCTGTCAAACTGGAACAAGAAAGCAGCGGAGAAGTAACGGAGCAGAAACCCTCCTTTTTACGCAACGGTCCAGACATAGACATCAAACGGCAAAAACATATTCAGTGTGCAGTTCCTTTGGCATTAGGGCAGGGATATTTAGATACTTTCCAAGGTTTGACATAATGAATTGTGCTACTTTTAAAGCAAGCAACGATGTTTTCAAATCTGTAATCAAAAAGGTCCGCAAAAACATTTAAGATTAACTTCGACCTCCGGGGGGGGGTCTTACTATGGAGGAGTGGATTGAGCAGTGCCTATCTCCAGAACAAAAAGCACCTAAACGACGACATGTAGAGCTACGTGAAGAGCAGGTAGACCAACTGGAAAAGTATCACCATTCAAAAGCTTTCTGATGCGGGTCTTGAAACAAAGCAGAGAAATTATGACCGTTAGTGGCCACAGGTGCGAAAGCTCTCTCCAGAGCTACTGGAAGCCGAATCTCGGGGACCGGAGAAAGTGGAGCAATATTCTCGCCACGCCAAGCAACAGCCTAGAACAACCTCAGCCTATACAAGTAACCACGTAAGCCATGCTACTGATGCTGGACAGTTTTTCAGTGGGTGCACAATAAACGGCAACATACACATTAATGTAAATAAATAGCCAAATAATGGATCAACGCTCTCTGTCTAATATGTTCGCTAGCTGTTGTTAGTGTTGTTGCATAGCAACCACCTCGCACTATGTTTCGTGCAGAAGGCAACAGAGGGACTATTTTATTTTGAACATCATTATTTACTAATAAAAACTATTTAAATTAGAGTGTGTATTTTTCTTTCATATTGCCACACTTGGTAACCGTTTTATAAAAGCAATAGCTCACTTCAGGCCGTGATATATGCTCATTATATCACAGCTAAGGGGGTTGTCGACCCTCCGCTTCGCGTCGGGCCGAACCACGCCCCTTAGCTGTGATATAATGAGCATATACCACGGCCTGTCGTGAGCTATTGCTTAATTATACAATATACAGATATGTATACAAATATGTATAAAATATATATATCCTATATACACAATCAACAGACACATTTACACATATGCACACATTTAGATAAAAAACACAACAATCAATATATATAAAATAACAGTCACTTCAATATCAATATCTTTGGGATTTATTGCAAGATTGTCCATAGCAGCGTAAAGAAAGTGTCTGGTGACAAATAAAGAGGGTTACATTCCTCCATTTCTTCTAACATGTGTTGTGTTTGGGGTCAATAAGGAAACATTGCCCTTCCAGTGTCAGCAGTCCAAAGGCTTGCTGTTGCCTCTCCTTTTGATTCCTACACTCCGGCAAAAATGAGCAACAAAGTGTGGGCTTGCAAGTGGGTCCAACTCCTTCTAACTGTGCCACTATGCCCCCCCTCTAAATCCATCATCTCAAGTATATCCTTCTCATTGATGGTATTATGAAGAGCTCCAATGCTGACTTCATGTCTTACAGCGTATCTTGTGAGGCCTTGAACCATTTTCATGACATTAGACGCACTAAAGCTACTCTGTTGTTCAAGAGAGAGCGGAACCATGATAACTTTACATGTTTTGGAAAGTGTCTGCTTGTGTTTGAGAGACAACAGGAGCATCTGCACTGGGGTCTCATTGTCATCAGAGGAGGAAGCCTCATAATCAGAGTCCTCCTCAACATTATCCTCTGTCTCAGACACTGTCTCTTCTTCGTCACTTTCACCGTCAAAGAGCTGTGACAAAACTCTGCTGAGAGAAAAACCTTTTCTTCAAAGGTAATTTTCGAGTGAGAGAGAGACATAAGAGAAACCACACAGAGCACCAAGAGAAACGGTTCAGAAGGCTGCTTTGCAAGCTTTAGTATGTTTGCCCCTCCCCTACGTTGTGTAAACTAAATGTCCTCACAGGAACCAAATGTCCCATGTTGCTGGAAATATCAGAGTTCTCGCAATTTCCCACATCCACCACAAACTCTGCTTTTTGAAATGTGGGACTGCATTTGACAATTTCTCGAGCTTTCTGCGTTCATGATAACTTCACTTTGACTGTCTTTTTAGCTCTTTAATGAATAAGAAAAACCCCTGCAATTGTATGATTTCCAGACCTGAAGTGGTAAACATCTCTTGAAAGTGAATTTACAATGCAGTAAAAACTGAAAATCCATGCATTTCCCTCATGAATGATTTCAGTCCAGCTTCCCACAAACAGAAACGGGATAATGTAATCCTCTGGGATTAAAATATAATTCAGAATGGCTGCTGATGCTGCTAAAATAATACATAATGAAATGATACAATCAACCCTATCGGTAAGAAAACATAAGCGCTTCGTAACAACACCAAAACACACACACACAAACATTCACCCACCCACACACACACACCCACCGGTCTGACATCAAACTGCTGCTGGTGGAGAAACGGCTCACCAGCCTCCATTATTTATTTCCTGCTACATCTTAGCAAGAGATGCCTTTTTCATCTTGTACATGTATAGGCCTACACCTTTTTCAGCTCTGGTTTCAATGTCCTCCCGGTTTTACGGTCTAAAAAGTGTTGCAGCAGTTTACATCACTCTCTGAAGAACAAGAAGACATTTATTTTACCTTTTATGACTTTAAACTCGATGTTTAAGTTTAAAATGTACAAACTACGGTGGCCGGCAGGTGCAATAGCGTGTAGTAGCGTGCTGCAGTTTAAAAAACGATGAAACATATTAACAGCAATGTGCCAAAACACATGCGAATGAAGAGAAATCTACACCAACCTGACGAGACATGAGCAGGGTTTACTAAAAGAGCTGCATCAGCTAAAAGGCTTTCACATGTTTTTCTGAAAATAAATGAGAAAATCTGAATGTATTCTTTCTTTCTTAATCCTACTGATAAATACAATATTTATAAAAAAATTCAAATATCTTGTTTCAGAAAAATAATTAATAGATATTTTTATAATTAAAAAAACTAAAGACTGAGATTTTCCAAACATTTTATTTTTTACAGACAAGTAAATGTGGCACTCATCTCACATCTTGAAAATAGAAACACAATTTATTACAAACTCAACCTGTTAACTTTTCTTTTAATGTGTTTTATTTCCTTCTTCAAACTTTTATGCATTCAACACATTGAGACTTAGTCAAAAATAAAAGGCCTTTAGAATAACATATCTACAATGAAAGAAGCTCTGGTGCTTTCTCTCTCTCATGCTTTACAAGAGAAACAACATCATACAAATACATCAATATCAATATTCAACAAATATTTAGAGCAAAGTTTACATTTCCATGCAGAGAAATATGAGTTGAGGTTAACAGAAATCCTCCTGAGCAGTGACAGCCTCCATGGCTAAACAGACACAGGAAGGAGCGCCGCCTAAAGAAACTCCAACATCTACAGAACAACTCATGAGAAGATGTTAAAGCACATCCCATAATGTTTGATTGACAGCTGATCTCTGTGCAGTGAAGACATGAACAATCAGCTCTCAGCAACAATGATGGACACACAATGAGTTTAAGAAGTAGAAGAGTTCCTCAAATGACTTCAGGCTATTTCAGTTTACAAAACTCAGCAGTGGTTCCATAATCACAAAGCCAAACTCCAGCATGTAGCGGCTGAGTGAATGTGGTCTGGACTCTGTGGAGGAGAGTCATGGTTTCAGAGATGCTGTAGAAGGACAGAATACCTGCTCTGTGATCCAGGTACACTCCTACTCTGGAGGACCGAGGACCTGAGACGGGAGTGTAGATACTGTTGTAACGAAATAAATAACTGCTTTGGTTACAATCTAAGGTCCAAGATTTGTCATTGAATCCAAATAAACTTTCATACCCTGCTCTGCTGATATTCTTGTATGCGACTGCTACACGGACTTCTCTCCCTCTCCGCTCCACCTCCCAGTAACAACATCCAGTCAGACTTTCTCTACTCAGGACCTGAGGATAATTAGTGAATCTGTCTGGGTGACTAGAATAAAACTGTAGTTTCACGAATGCTGCTTTTCTGCTCCCCTCAGATAATAACAGCCGTGTGTTTGCTGTGTTTGGATCCAGTGTGATCTCCTGTGAATATTTTAAGAACCCAGCTCTGGTGGTGGGCTCTGCTGCTGACAGTAAAACATCCACTTCAGTCAGTGAGACGTTTGTCCATTCAGCGTCTCTCCTCTTCAGATCAGCCATCTCCTGCTCCAGCTTCTCCTGAAGCTCTTTGACTCGACTCACTTCACTCTTCTGATGGGATCTGACCTGCTGCCTCACATCAGAGCTTCTTTTCGCCATGAGACGGATCAGCTCAGTCAACATCTTCTCACTGTCCTCCACTGCTTTATCAGCAGAGCCATTGACGGCCTCCACCTCCTGCTGAAGCAGCTTCACCTCCTTCTCTCTGTCCTGGATGCTCTGCTGGATGTTTTGTCGACTCCCCTCCAGCTCTCTCTGCCTCTCAGTCCTTTCTGCTGCAGCTGACACTGTGTCGTGGCCTTTGTGTCCGTCCACAGAGCAGAGATGACAGATACACCGCTGAACAGCGCGGCAGAACATCTTCATCACCTCGTCGTGATGAGAGCAGATGTTCTCCTGGAGCTTCTTGGAGGGCTCCACCAGCTTGTGTTCTTTTAATGGAGCTACGTCATAATGAGGCTGGAGGTGTTGGTCACAATAAGAGGCCAGACACACGAGGCAGGACTTACAGGCTCTCAGTTTTCTCCCAGTGCAGACATCACAGGCCACATCTTCAGCTCCAGCATAGCAGAGATCAGCAGGAGCAGCTTGGAGTCCAGTCTTCTTCAGCTCCTCCACTAAAGCTGCTAACATGGTGTTTTTCAGCAGGACAGGCCTCGGTGTGAAGCTCTGCCTACACTGAGGGCAGCTGTGGATCTTCTTCTCATCCTCTCCATCCCAGAAGCCTTTAATACACTTCATGCAGTAGCTGTGTCCACAGGGAGTCACCACCGGATCCTTCAGTAGATCCAGACAGATCGAACAAGAGAAGGTTTCCCGGTCCAGCTGAACTCCTTTCTGCGCCATTTCACCTCTCAGTGGCAACGAGTGTCTGAGTTTCACTTCCTGAGCAGTGATGATACCTGTATTAAGCAGGTGAAACAGGAGCAATGAGGACACGGTGTGTTATGTTTCCTTCCAGATCGCTTCTCTGGTTGTTTTATTACACAACAAAATCATTTAAACATATTAACTCTCTCTAATATGCATTTCTGTTTTCATTTACATTCCCAAAGTGTTATTAATGTGATAATAAAGTGCTACTGAAGAGTGTAAAGTGTTAATTAAGGGTAAAGGGAACAGACCTGCTCTGTGTATCCGAAGCTGAGGCTGTAAAACAGCGTCCAGTAGTTTCTGGAGTCTCTTGTTCTCCTCTTTGGAAAGAGACAGCTCCTCCTCGTACTCTGCTATCGTTTTTTCAAACAGAGCAAATATATCTTCAGCAGCAGCAGTGAGTCGCTGCTTCTTCAACGACAGCAGCATTTGGACTTTACTCATGTTTACTAGTTCACCTTTTCCTGCAAACTCCGTTAAACACACCGTTTCTCTCTCCATCAAACTCTCAATCTGACTAGCGTTGCTAACGTGTTTCCAGCTAGCATGCTAAGCTAGCTCCTATAGTCCGAGGTAAACGCTCCAGAAAAAAGAGCACACAGTCCATTCAGAGGTTTATCCAAACACAGATGATGGATCAGTAGTGCTGGAGCTCAACTGGGAACAACTGTCGAATACAGAGTGGAGCTGGCTGTGTCTGAGAGCAGGAAGAAGAGGGAGGGCTTATCAAACTCTGACTCATTCCAGGAGGAGGAGCAGCGCTGACACTCTGAACTGTTTCCTCATTTACAAACGGAGCCTCGCTTACAACCTGCTCTACATTTGAAAACAGTCTTCAGCTGTAAAATATTTGTTTTAAATTCAGGCTTTCGTAGCACACAGCTCCACACTCATGGTAGCAGTGGTGAAAGAAGTACTCAGATATTCTACTAAAGTAAAAGTAGAAATACTACAGGGTAAAAATACTGTGTTACAAGTCAAAGTACAAAAGCATTGGTATCAAAATATACTTAAAGTACCAAAAGTAAAAGTACTCCATGCATAATGGCCCTTTTCAGAATCGTATATATATATATATATATATATATATTGAGTTACTGGGTTACTATAAGGATTATTGATGTGTTTTATCACAGTTAGTAAATGTAGAGCTCATTTGAATAACTGTATGTCCTGCTGCTGGCTATATTATCCCATAAATAACTGTCAAAGTGTGTTTAATAATTGATTTATATTTTTGAATTATCTACTAATCTATATCTAACTAGTAACTAAAAGCTGTCAAATGAATGCAGTGGAGTAAACAGTACAATACTGTCTTCTAAAATGTAGTGCAGTAGAAGTATAAAGCAGCATAAACTGAGACGTATTGGCATCAACCACTACTTACTACTTACTGTGCATAATGTCTCATTTTAGAATCATATATATTGAATTACTGGATTATTTCATTTTTTATACATTAATGTGTTTGTTACATCCCTATTAAAGTGTAGGGGAAATGGAGACAGTAACACACAACAACCAATAACAGTCAGGGTGAAAGAGAACACAAGTTTATTTATTTACACCAAAATAAATGCCAACAAATGTTCTTTAAGTGAGGAGACAAAGAAGATTATGCCAAATTAAATAAATGAATATAACAAAACTCAAACAAAAAGCCCTCACTATCTGTTCTACTAACAAGGAAACAAAACAACTACAGGGTGGCAACAATTGATTGATTGATTGAAAAGTTTATTAACAGCTTGTATATTGGGTACAGTACAGTACAGCTCAAAACATACAATTGTTAAGGGGATGCAGACCAGAGAAAGACTTTCGTCTTGTTTACATCAGGGTCCCCCATTTCCAATTCATCATATCATTTAAGACATATAAGACATATTTGACATACAGATGGCTTATTTACAATTTACATACAGGTGGTTTTTTACATACAGATGGCTTATTTACAATTTTCATTTTAGATTTCGTTCTAATACATCCTAACCGGACATTTAAGACATACCAAGTCTACAGATATACAGTTAGTAACAGAGTCTAAAATGCGAGTATATACATAGATGGGGGGGGGAAGCTGTCCATTGTACGACAGGTTGAGATTTGTACCATTACCGGGGCCAGTTTTGCAATGCTTTCCCCCGAAGGTGCTCTTTAAGAGAGGTTTTGAAGGTAAGTATAGTTTTACTTTCCTTTACAGTTGTGGGAAGAGCGTTCCACCTTGATGTGGCATAATTGCGAAACGTGTATTCCCCTTTTTTTGTGCCAAATCTGGGTTTTACATGATTTGTGGAGCTCCCTCTGGTGTTATGATCATGGTATTCCTTGACCTTTGGGAAGAATTTTGACATGTACATGGGTACCATAGAGGTGTAGTGGATCTTGTAGACCAGGCCCATTGCAAGTAGCTGTACTCTGTCGTCTACTCTAAGCCATCCTAGGTTGTCAAAGTGGGCAGAGGTGAGGTGGGTTCTAGATGAAAGGTCAAGCAGTAGTCTGACCAGTTTATTTTGCGATGTTTGAAGTTTTATTTTTAGCGCCTTGGAGGTGCTATGGTACCATGACGTGCAAGCATAGTCATAGTACCCTTGAATGAGTGCTCCTGCCAGAGTTTTCAGGGTGTTTTTGTTTACCAGAGAGGAGATCCGGTATAGGAATCTAGTTCTTTGATTGACTTTTTTTATTACATTGGATGCCATTTTGTCACAGGAGAGGTTTGCCTCAAGAATAGATCCTAGGTATGTAATTTCCTTCTTACTTGTGACAATAATGTCACCCACTGCAACTGAGAAGTCGTCGGATTTGCTGAGATTATGTTTCGAACCGAAGAGAATGGACTCTGTTTTACCCAGGTGTAATGATAATTTATTATCGGCGAGCCAGGTGCAGATTCTGCCGAGCTCGGAGCTGAGGGTTTTTTCAACCTGCAATCTGCTCCTGTCAGAGACCAGCAGGGCTGAGTCGTCCGCGAACAGGAACAAGTTGCAGTCACATGCTGATGACATGTCATTTGCATAAATTAGGAACAGTAACGGACCTAATATGCTTCCTTGTGGAACACCACAGCTCACTGGGAGGGGGGGGGACAGAGTACCGTTTACCTCCACCATCTGTTCTCTCCCCTCCAGGTAGGATTGCATCCAGCTCACCGATAGTTTATCAAAACCAATTGCTTTTAGCTTGTCAATCAGAATGGGGTGATTGACAGTGTCGAAAGCCTTTTGTAGGTCCAGCATCACCATGCCGCAGTATTTACCCTCGTCCACCTCTTGTTTGATGTGGTCGTTCAAATAAAGAAGGCATGTGTCAGTGGAGTGGGATGTTCTAAAGCCAGATTGAAATTCATAGATTAGTTTCTTTTCTGCAAGGTACTTTTCGACCTGTTCATATACTATTTTTTCCATGACTTTCGAGATGGAGGTAAGTATAGAAACAGGGCGGTAGTTGCCTGGGTCCAATTTGCTGCCCTTTTTGTGCAGGGGGGTTACTCTTGCAATTTTGAAGTCTTTGGGTACTTTTCCCTGTTTTATGGAGAGGTTAATTATGTAATCTACTAACCTAGTGTGTTTACCTATGTGAAGAGAGGTAGAGGGAACCCCAAACTTACCCAAATCCTCCCCCTCCCACCACACACACATTTAACAATACTAAAAACAAGATGGCAGAATAATGACCAAATCTATCAGAGACCACAAAGAGGCTCTGGAGTCAGCAGCAGGTCTGAGAGAGTGAAGGCTTCCTGGATTGCCTCCTATAATGACAGGCCCTGGCTACCTTCTTAAATGTTCAAATATGGAAATAAAATATAAATATAATGTCTTTGATAATTCACTATAACTAAGTTCTAAATGTGTCCTCTGTTAAGATGTTGAATTAACACCAGAATTGAATAAATTAATACATTATTTCTGATAGCAGTATGTGAAATTAAATCTGTAGCAATATGTTAAACTCTACTTGTATCTCATCAGTTAATTAGTTACAAAAATACATATAACTCTTCTCTGGTTCTTGCAGAAACAGTTCTTTCTGAAATGTTTTGGGACACTTTGTTGTACCCCTTTTAGTATGATAATTGGCCTATTATCATTAGCCAGACAGCATTGTGTGACTTGTTGAACTGGTTTACCTGCATGTGTGGGTGTAGGTATTCCTTTTATTATGATAATAGGCTAAGCCAGGTAGTATTGTGTGACTTAATAGGATTCAGATACTTGTTGCATCGGGAGACCTGGAAGGGGGTTGTGCATACATTCCTTTTAGTATGATAATAGGCTAAGCCAAACAGAATGAACACTGGTTCCACCTCCCTATCTATTCCTTCAGGTAATCTACTATTACAATATAATAAGCATATGTATTCAGCCTGTCGGGTGTTCTTTTACCCAGAATGACCGCCTCGCTGCACATTATCCTGTTTATTACAAGGCCACATTCTCAACAAAGTAACGACATGACTCCCAATATTAATTGAAATGCTTTTATAGATTTAGAAAATGTTTTTATTGATTTAAAAAATAGTAGGCTATTATTGATTTTAAATGACATGCATCCACTAAGAAAAATAGTCCGTTGTTACTGTTTGAACGTGGCAACGGCAGGAACTGCTTCGATAGTGTTTTTGCGGACCTGTTTGATTACAGATTTGAAAACATCGTTTCTTGCTTTAAGAGTAGCACAATTCATTATGTCAAACCTTGGAAAGTATCTAGATATCCCTGCCCTAATGCCAAAATAACTGGCAACTGAATATGTTTTGCCGTTTGATGTCTATGTCTGGACCGTTGTGTAAAAAGGAGGGTTTCTGCCCTGTTACTTCTCCGCTGTTTTCTTGTCCCAGTTCGAAAAGCATTGCTTTTCGGCCAAACATAGAGAGGCGAAGTCCCTCCCTTTCCGGTGGACCTCATGGGACCTTATTTCGGAAAAATTATGCATTGAAGTCAATGGCGAGAGAAAAGTTATCTTTC